CAACCACCTCCATTCTATTAGCTACTTCCTCAGTCTTAGCAAGGATCTCTTTCTCAACTTGCTCCAGTTTGTCAACCAGCAGGGCTCCTGCTTCATCTATTTTCGTCCCTAGAGAACTCGTTCCCTTATGGATTGCAATCGCTTCATTCACCTTGACTATGCAGCCAGGGCAATACCAGCAACAGCCATCAAGCTTTACGGCAGTTAGTAACTTCCTAGACGTTGCATTAGTTAGGCCTGCATCCTCCATATCCGACGTCTCCCTGCAGTAATCACATACCAAACTCATGGTTGTTGTTGTTGTGGGGGGGGTGTAGACTGTGTATAGATCTACACCTATTTCAAAGAAAATAAAGAGAGAAAAAAGTACTTAGCTACTCTCTGTTGCCTATGGAGTTGTCGTCTGCGACTGCGTACCCTGTATCTCCCTGTGAATGGTGTATTGTAGGCACAGTTTCAGTCCTTGAGCAAGCACACAATCAACATAAAATAAAATTTAAAGTCTCTGTGGCACCTATGACACGACTTGGTTTCAGCTGGCACGGTGCCTTTCCAGCTTGCTTGCTAGTGAGCGCTCACTTTAAGTTATTTACAACTTCAGCGGTCACTGATGACACTATGAACTATCACTGTGTACACTGTATCTCCCTGTGAGTGGTGTATTATAAACACAGATTCAGTCCTTGAGCAAGCACACAAACAAAATAAAATTTAAAGTCTCTGTGGCACCTATGACACGAATAGGCTGGCAGTTGTCCTTACCAGCTCGATTGCCAATATGTATTCACTTTAAGTTATTATAGTCTCTTCTGCATTCACTGTACGAGTCATGGTCACGCAGCGTAGCTCGGCACGTTTGTGATGCCAGTCCTGGCGTTCATTGCATATGCTGTCATCTCTCGGTGCTAATGAGAAAAGTTTCCATCGACTCAACTTGAATCATCAAACCACTCAGTGCAATTCTGTCATTATAAGTTCTCAATCCAAATATTCCCAAGCATCCTCCATTCCCCTACTCATATTAAGGGTTCACATTGGTTCATGATAAGTTTTTACTTTTTCTTCTTCCTCCTTCTCTCCTTTAATTCTTCAATTTAGTACAGTATTTCTTACTTTTGTTTTAACTCTTTTTCTCTTCCATTTCTTACTACTTTTTATTCTTATTACAACTGAATAATATAAGTTTTACGAGTGAAGGTTCGTGAGAGAACATGTTACATGCAGCTTGAGTGAAAAGGACTTATTCATGTAGGCTATAGTTGACTACCACTGGTAGGGGGGGGGGGGGCGATGTGTTGTCGACCTGTTATTAGGAATGAACAGGACTTAGACACGTCTATCACTCGTGAGAGACTTGCAGTGTGCCACATTTTTTGTTGTTTTCCATAAGTTAGTTTGTACTAAATTTTGAGACTAGTTCACAGGCTTTTTTTTTCAAGAATGTTTTAATATGGGTTGAAATTATAATTAGAATAAAAACCAGCCCCCAAGCCCCAATATTGTTCAGTTTGGGACATTATACTATACAGTACTGTATTTCACCCCGGGGTCATCTAGGAACCAGTGTGTCGAATGGGGATCCTTTGAACCAGGGGTGCAGTGCTGCCGGAGCTCACCGAAGCACCGCTCCGGCACCTCTGTTTTGATCAATCAATCAACATGGCCGATGCCTTGTTCCCTCCCGGGAGCTCCCCAACAGGGTGTAGCCATGGCAGAAATGTCTCCAGGCCATTTTATCCTTGCACACCTCACTTGCTCTCTCAAACAGTCTTCCTTCCCTTCCCGCTCTCTCATCAACAAAATCTCGAACACTTTTCTCCCGGGTGGCAATTGGTCTACCTCTCCCAACATTCCTCTCTCTCTCTTCCTATCATAAACTTTTTTTGTCAGCCTGTCTTCACGCATCCTCAGCACATGTCCATACCACCTTAGTGTATTCCTCTTCATCCACTCCACCACACCGCACTTCACACATGAAGTTATAGTAAGCTCTATATGTTACTATAAATCTATATCAATCAAGCAATCACCTTTATTTTGCATTAATAATATACAAAACCGAATGTAACCTCATATAATTAATCTCTCCTTCAGATCAGCTTACATTTTATGACTTATCAATATTGTAGAAAAACTTTGATAACAGGTTCACTTCTAAAAACTTAAAAACAGTACTTCCTTGCATAAGATCTATAGATATGTGACCAATATCGAAAGGATAAGCACATTAGACTACTACTAGATCAAATATATATATATATATATATATATATATATATATATATATATATATATATATATATATATATATATATATATATATATATATATATATATATATATATATATATATATAGTTTAAGAAACGGAAATTATTTTCACAGCTCCGGTACCTTAAAAATTGGCACTGCAACACTGATATCTATACACTATACCTCCAACACCACCATCATCACTCACAACACAACTTCGCACACCACCACCACTCACAACACAACTTCGCACACCACCACCACTCACAACACAACCTCCAACACTACCACCACCCACCACAACACAACCACACACCACCACCACTCACAACACAACCTCCAACACCACCACCACTACAACACAACCTCCAACACCACCACCGCTCACAACACAACTTCCAACACCACCACCACCACACACAACCACCAACACCACCACCACTCACACCACAACCTCCAACACCACCACCACCACTCACAACACAACCTCCAACACCACCACCACCACAACACAACCTCCAACACCACCACCACTCACAACACAACTTCCACACCACCACCGCTCACAACACAACCACCACTCACAACACAACCTCCAACACCACCACCACCACTCACAACACAACCTCCAACACCACCACCGCTCACAACACAACTTCCCACACCACCACCACTCACAACACAAACCACCAACACCACCACCACCACACACAACCTCCACACCACCACCCACCACTACAACACAACCTCCAACACCACCACCACCACCAACACACAACCTCCAACACCACCACCACTCACAACACAACTCCAACACCACCACCACACAACACAACACCCAACCACCACACACAACAACACCACACCACCACCACACAACACAACCTCCAACACCACCACCACTCACAACACAACCTCCAACACCACCACCACACACAACACAACCTCCAACACCACCACCACCACAACACAACCACCAACACCACCACACCACTACAACACAACCTCCAACACCACCACCACCACAACACAACCTCCAACACCACCACCACAACAACACAACTTCCAACACCACCACCACTCACAACACAACCTCCAACACCACCACCACTCACACAACCACCAACACCACCACCACAACACAACTCACACACCACCACCACTCACAACACAACCTCCAACACCACCACCACTCACAACAACACAACCTCCAACACCACCACCACTCACAACACAACTCCAACACACACACCACCACTCACAACACCACCACCCACAACACAACACACCACCACCACCACCACAACACAACCTTCAACACCACCACCACTCACAACACAACCTCCAACACCACCACCACTCACAACACAACCTCCAACACCACCACTTACAACACAACTTCCAACACCACCACTACCACTCACAGCACAACCTTCTACCACCCGAGATCCCTCGTCCGAGAATTGCTGTTCGACACCACAACCGCATCCAGCCCATACGAGCATGAACTGATCGCTATAAGAACAGCCCAGTCCCAACCATTGTAAAAATTATCAACAACTTGTAATCAACCAGAGTATTCACTCCCCGTTAGTCTTACTTTTTGCACTGTCATTATGTTGAAATGCCCTGTAGTTTGAGCTTCTCCCCCACCTAGTTATTATATATCATATTTGTATCACTTATGTTACTTGTATATTATTTGTAAATTAAGATACCCATTCCCCAATTATGTAACTGTATATTTTCAGCCTTCCGGCTGCCATGCTCTTTCAATAAACCGTTAATTATTATTGTTATTAACCTCCAACACCACCACCACCGCTCATAACAGAACCTCCAACACCACCACCACCGCTCATAACAGAACCTCCAACACCACCACCACTCACAACACAACCTCCAACACCACCACCACTCACAACACAACCTCCCACACCACCACCACTCAGAACACAATTTCCCACACCACCACTCACAACGATATGTATTGTACCTACCCCAAATAACCTTATTATGATAAGATCCTGTTTTCAAGACACAAACTTTTTGTTTTAATACCTTTACTTATTCTATGTCAAATTAAATATCACACTGTATATATTTCACCAACTTCTCACAGAATCAAATTATTTTTACTTTTATTCCTTTTCCCTCCTACTGTATATAAGTTTCATATTATATGGTAGAAACTGCAAATTTTACCAAAGACATTAGAACAAATAATACTGTACACTGTACTGTACTTCTTGAGCCTTATACTCCCTGTATAATATCTACATAAAATTCCTTTGTCATAGCAATCTAACAAATTTTTTAGCCAAAACACAACCAAACCAATACAGGCTGAGGATCCTTTATCCAAAAAGTTTTGGGTAATTACATTTTGGTTATTTATTCATTTGGAGTTTTTTATGCTTAGGCCTCTATTATTTACATTATAATGACTTAAGCTTATGCTAACCTATAAAAACCCAGATCCACACCTCAAATCTGACAGATGCAACTTTTTTTTACTAATGTCACTGCTTCCTACCTTTTGAATTTAAGAAATTTTTACATTAAACATGATTTTGCTAAGGCATCTTTCAACACTTAAGCTTTTGGTAATGTTTGGTTCAAGCTATTGTCGTAGCACTGTAGACAAAATGTAGAATCAGTAATGATATTCTCTCACTCATCAAAACCACCTCTTACTGCCGGTTTAGTTGTGTTTATAACTTTAGGACATTTTTAAAATAAACATGATTTTGCTTGGATATGTTTTTAATATTATAGCTAAAAAAAACTTATGTGATAAATGTGAACACAAGTTTCAGGGTTACAGGTTAATACACATGGAGAAAGTAGCAGCTGACTGGCTTAAGTAACTGTTCCGCAGACTTGACCTGCTATGCTAATTCAGGTTATTGCAAATGTAATATGTCTCATTGCAGTCCTTGTTATAGTTGTGGGTATAATATACAGGGAGTTTGGCTCGGGCCCATTGCATAATCACGTGCAAGCATAACAGTGAATATGTATGGTTTTCTCACGTTCATGTTTTCCTCACAACAGGACTTTATATGTTGAAACTATACTCTACTGTATATTTACATATGCAGCTTTTCACAATCTGTCACTCACTTCCAAGCAACAGCAAAGCAGTAGTAGTAATTATACCATCTTTCTGCTTTCATCCAAGATACCCAGAATTATATGCCTTCATACTCACACATAGTAGGGTCCATTAAAAAGCTTTCGGTTTTGGGATTTTTATGGTTTTCAGAATTTCGGATAAATGATCCTCGACCTGTATTCATTTGTAGGTAGCCTAAGAAACCGTGAATAGCATCTTACAAATAACCAGCATCTTAAAAGAATATGAAAAGAAACATGCTACTTTTAATTCTACAAATAAATCATTATTGATACTGGCAAAGTATACCGTACCAAATACAGTACTGTATTGCACATGTATAATAAATATAAATTAAAGTTTTGTAGCAAAATTTAAGGGCAAAATATATTATGTCTTCCAGCTGGGGTTTTGTAGCACAGTACAAGGAAAGCACCAAATGGCTCACAAATTTACTACCTCACTACTATGGATCTGAATACACATTATTACACAAAGCATGATATAAACGATCAGATCTAAATTAAACAAACTGCATGAGAAAATTGCTCATAACAACAATAACAACAAAAGATCAACAAATCATGAGAAAGTACAGAGCTGGATCATGCCATAGTCTCCACTGGTGTTCCAGCTACGTGTTACATCTGCAATTCTTTCGCTAACGCCAGGAGCCAACCCAACAACTGGTCCACCTTTAGCTGTACGTAAAGCTAGCACTGGGGCCGGGGAGAAGCTACGGAGAGCACATTCAAAGCTGGTAGTTGTTGGCCAATCAAAGTCTCCAGTAAGCTTCCGGTAATTCAAATCACCCTAAAAAACAAACAAAAACACATCCATAAGACTATTTTTCAAAATCTTATTCATAACACAGTAATAGTACATTATACGAGGGATAGATCTTGAATTACCCTTTTGTAACTAAGCAAGGAATAGTAGATTCAAGTACTGTACTGGACTGTACATTAAAATCCATGCCATTTAGCTAAAAATTGAGACTCCTTGTTTGCTGTGGTAACACACATGTGATCTATGACCCATGTTGCCGTTCATTACAAATCGGATGACACGAGCAATCCTTACTCAGTTTCAGTTCATTTCAGAACCCTAAGGTGTGTTTGTTATACTGTATATGGGTGTATACTGTATATACAATATATATGTGTATGTACTGTATGTTTGTTTAAAAGTGTGTTTGTGTTAGACTGTATGTGTACGATAATGCATGTACAGTATACATATATTTGGAGGCAAGTAATTTCCTTTGTTCAAAAAAAAAAAAAAAATTGCTTGTAAACCTTAGTGTTAAGAAATTAGATTGAACACAAAGAAAAATCATGGCCTATGCTGACTGAAAGAGTTAAATACTGCCTAGCTGAATTTTTTTTTATTGGTAACTAAGCTGTTCAACTGAGATGACATGTCCAATTACTGCTATTATACTACCTTACCAAGGTTGGCCAAAAAATTGTACTGTGCAGTGAATCCTATTTGATGGAGTGGCACAGGCTACAATGCAGTGATGCCATCCAAAGTAACTTGGGTGCGACTTTTAAAATTTGGAAGACAAGAGAAAATACGCATCAGCAAAAGTACATTGTGCATAGTGAAAAGTTTTCACTAATCTATAAAGTTCATACATAAATAATTGCATGTAGCGGGTGTGTGTATGGTGAGAATTGTCTGTACAGTAAGTCCTCATTTAACGTTGCCCCCGACAACGTCATTTCATTATAATGTTGTTAATCTTTAGTTACCCATGATTCGAACAACGTCCCGCTGATTCAGTATAACGTCGTCACGGACTACTTTGTACGGCGCATCACCCTCTCTCACCCAGTCAGAAAGGGAGGAGGAGCCACCCTCCGGGTCTCAGTGACTCACCACCCTCCTCCTCTCCACTACCCACCACACACTCGCTCCACCTCCGCCCATCAGTGAGTAATACACAAAATGATTGAGTTTATTTATCTTTTTGGATGTACTGTATAATATACAGTGTACTATTTTCAATAAAAATTCCATTGAATTTATGTCCATGTAATGTATCTTATAGGACAAAGGGAGGCTGGGGAACGTAACTCCCATATTTTATCTATTTCTTATGGGGAAAATTTATTCAGTTAACGTTTCCGTTAACGTCGCGGTTTTCAGAAATGGAACCACGACATTAAGCAAGGACTTACTGTATTTAGGATATATCCCTGGATTGTGTCAATGAGTTCTGTTACATAAGTGAAGTGATTAGTGCAGGTGGTGGTGCAGAAGTTAGCTCAATTGCAAGAGTAAGAAAGGTTTGGAAGAAGCTGAGAGAGATATTACCTTTATTTGCATCAAGAGGATATTCTCTTCACTTGAAGTTTTTGTAGCCTGCGTAAGAATTTGATTGTTGTACTATGGTAAGCGTGGGTAGCTAAAGAGGATTAGATTCGGTCAAGAGATGCATGAGTTTGGATGTGGAGGGGATGAGAGATAGAGGTAGGCACCTGATTAAAGAGGCTTCAGAAGACCATGCAACATGGAGATGTCATCTGGTAATCATGGTTAACCCAAGCAAGTGTGGAAAATGGCATAAAACAATGATGATGATGATGATGTACAGGTATCCCTCAATTAGTGATCGGGATGCATTCCTTATAAAAATGAACGTTAAGTGAAATGATCGCTAAACGAAGGAAAACGAGAAATAAAATCCTTAACGAAGGATAATGAGGAATTATATCTCTGGAGATGGCACATAATTGTGTAGCCCATTCTCAGACTCGCCACCCAGTAGTACAGGTACTCATAGCAGGTGAGGCTGAGCTGTAAGCTATATTATTATTTAACTCGTAATTTTGGGTAGATATGTAATTTGCTTCACTTTCTTTTACTGTTACATGCACACATATTTTATTAATACATTATGTGCAACAACAAAAATTATCATAAGGTAAAAAACATAAAGGGAATAAACACTTCTTATGTGCTTGGCAGTTAGGATACAGAGCAGAGGAGGTGGGAGGGGGAATGGTGTGTGGATCTCCCAGCTGTTTGCTGTCTCGTGTCCCGTTGTAATGACCACGGTCATACACGTCAGTTAACGCAAAATCAGACGATTCATATTACGCTCAATAGCCCACAAAGCATGTAGCTATGCCTTCCTTTGAGTCTCCCGTCTGAGGAGTCCGTTTTCTCATCGCTTCAAGACGCCTGAGTCCTCCGTTTTCTCTGACTTCCTGAAATCAACCTCTCTATAAAGTGAATTTGAATGTGAGAGAGAACACCATTGTTTTATGTCAACTTAGATATGTTTGATTACAGTTAAAGCATACAAGATCCTTTGGGAGTGATGTTGAAAGCTTTAACTGTCTTTATTGATAGTAACATTGGTTAAGTGAGTGTTGAGTCTGCCAGTACAAATGACATCCCATGATATTGTCCTTAGGAATAGCCATGAGTTTCCAATTGCAACTGAAGTTAGATTATTTTGTTGCCCAAACATCAGAGAATCTGATGTTTGTAGTTTAGTTAGTGTCAGTTGTTGATTTAAGAAAGTCATTAATAGCCTGAACTATTCTGTCAACTGGTATAATCTCCAAAACCTAACGTATCCCCTTGAATAGTTCCTTGTTTGCAGCCGCGCTGAGGTTGTAAAATTAATGTTAACAACGTGTGTAATTCCACTTTTTCCTGGCAAGCTAAATCTCTGATTAGATTATATGAATAGACGTAGGAAATTCGCAGGACTAGTGGCAATTGGGTATCATTGTTAAATGTACAGCAACTGATTTGAATGTAATTTCTGACATTGCGTGACTTGCCTTTCTGGCATGTGTTCCGCACAGGCCTGAGTTGCCAGTTAGCCGTATATAAGCTCATGCACGGAGGAGTGTCACATCTCTGACGCTTCTCCATTATCATCTCTGGTATGTGTATGATTCTCCGCCCGCCATATTAAGTCAGTTTAACTCAGTGAATTTTGTGAATATCAGTGTTCATGTTGTAACAGTGAAAATGTCATTTACCCAGTGAAAGAATTAATATAACGTAAATGTTGTCTGTCGTTGCTAGACAAAAGATTGTTTGTGATTGAGTTATTATTTACATCTCTGATGCTTCTCCATCATTATCTCAGGCCCAGTGTGTGTGATAGCTGAATACCCAGCAGCTACCGGGGATCGGTAGCTGCATACCAGCTGGCTGTATTGGAAGATGTCGTTAATTGGGCAGGATTAAAATGTGCAAGTCCGCACCCTGGGAACTGGGCCCCGAACTCCCTCGCCATGTGTCAGACTACAACCGACCCCTAACAGCGATCTTCATTTGTTGTAGTGAAACCAGTGAGCAGTGGTGGGCACAGCTTAACGAAAAGTTAGCTTCGCTACCACTAATCTGCTAACTAACAAGTTAACTTCGCTAACGCTAAACCGCTAAACAGCTAAAAAAATTAGCGGAAGCTAATGCTAACCGCTTACTTTTATTATATGAATTTAGCTTCGGTGTGTTTGTTTTTTTGGCTCTAAAACCCTTAAAAACAGACCTAAAGAGCTGAAATTTTCATATGTTGTCTTGTAGCTTAGACATAGAGCTTTCCAAAAAGGCATAGCATGCCAAGATCAGATGATAAGCAAGGTGTACACAAACACAAATAATTAAATGAACAAATTAAATTAAACATTAGTTTACATTCAAGTTTCAATATACACTTTATAATCTTTATTTACTGTACGAAAAGACAGAAAGTATTAAACGAACCCAAAAACTATAGTACTGTATAGCATAGGTAGCAAATAGCATCATGCCAAGATCAGATGATGATCAACTTATCAAGGTGTACACTATACACAATTTTACAAATAATTAATTTGCATTCCCATACAACCTATCGGCCTTATTCATTATTCATGTAAATATGCAATACCAACCACATACACATCATACCAGTGCATTTTTATATAACTTATTGTTGGTCTTAGCCATTATACCAGTGCCTCACTCACAGCCACTGCAAGCTCCTCAACACTGTCAACAGGCTCACCTGGCCCAGCATCGTCAGGCAGAACAAAAGTGTCTTCACCTTCCATAACAATAAGTGATAACGTACGCTGCTGTCGCTGACACTGTAAGACTGCTTAGACTGTCTGTAACGTGACAACGTCGTAAGTGAACTGAACTCAGAACTGTGGAATTACACAATGCTGCTCAGCTGCTGCAGCGCGGCGTCTACAAATCATGTCTTGTCACGTTTACACGTAATAACATGCAGTCAGCCAAGCGTGCCTGACTGGCTGTTGGAGACACGTGTCGCGGAGTCACACACTTACAACAGACAGGAACAAACATGTATAAATTTTGTTAGCGGACTTAAAGTTAGTCGAACTAAATTTAGCGGAAGCTAATTGGTCCGCTAATGGTTTCCAAAGTTAGCGAAAACGCTAATCCGCTAACGAGAAAGTTAGCTTCACTAATTAGCGGTTAGTGGATTAACGGAACCGTGCCCACCACTGCCAGTGTGACATCCTGGGGCACTCCTTACAGTTATATGGGCCAAAGTATTATTGTATCTAGGATTGGGGATTAACTAGCAGAAATGTAGTTATCCCAGGTTGAGTAGTGAACCCATAAAAATTGATAGTATCAGTAAATATGTACGTGAGTTGAGTACATCAACTAAAGGAAAAATGCCATGTTATTCATTCCGAAATAGCATGTTGTTATAAATAATATTTTAATTCGGGATATTGTCCAGTGAGTCATATAGCCATCTGTAGTGACAATGAAATAATATAATGATTGTTTAATGATGTAATAAGTAATTGAAGTTGTTAAATGATGTAATAAGTAATTGAAGTAGTTAAATGATGTAATACATAATTGAAGATCTATTTTATGAATGGTAAAGTAAGACCTAAGTGGTCCAGTCTGGTCTGAGTGTACTTGATTAACATCTTGTTCACTCCTTATGTTAATAAATATTGAATCAGTAAACTATGAGTATCACCGCTCTATTCCCTCTACACATTGGTTCTCAGAAAATAACACTTGTAACTCACGTGCCTAGAAGCTCGCTAGCAGGCTACCTAACAGTTCACTAAGACATGCTATATTCTAATAAAAGTCTGGGTGGTGGCAGGCTACCGTTGAAAGTATAATAAGTGTTGTAATAAGAAAAACATGGTTCCCCAGACTAATCCATGGTTTAGAATATAGTAATTAAAAACAGCGTATACTTCAGAAAGGTAAGGACATAGAAATTCAGAAAATAAAATACTATATATGGAAAGAAATGGGGTAAAGACAAGAATATTGACTTGGAAAATACCAGAAGAGAAATATAAAACAGGATACTTATTAAAGAGAAAAAATATTTGAAATAAGTATATGAATAAATCTGAAGGATAGTATAAAGAATAAAAAGTAAGGAAAGTCACGCCCTTACACCGTGTGGAGTGAATGATTGTCAAATGGCAAAACAAAGAAAAACATTTAGAATTTGCCATAATAATAATAGACTACAGTACACTACAGTAATGTAACACTCACCAAGTCCACATCAGAAGCAAAGTTGTCATGAGGAAGGTGAAACAGCTGCACACTTACCTGACATTATCACAAAGTTCACTCTCTTTTCATAATACTGTATCACAATAGTACAGGGTATATGAACACTCAGTAGACTACTCAATAACCTGTAAAATTAACAACAATAACAGCAATAGGGACATTGCACAGCGATCGATAATGTACGGAGCGATAACAGTGAAGAACGATCAAACAACAGGATGTAAACACTCGTAGTACACGGCGTGGGTGGATAGTTGGCATTTGAGTAACATAACCCTACGTGGTTTCCATATAATAAACCTAGATAACCCCCTCTGGTTACCAAAAAGATAATTTCTGTTTTTTGCTGGAAAAGCGAGATAATGATTTTTAAAATTCAGGTTGGCTGAATTGTAGGTACAGTATTGTTGTACAGCATAGCGTCTTCGAATCAACCCCAGCCTTGGAAATCCAATGTTGCCACGATATCAGAGTGGGCCGGGGGACATATCACGCTTGACATTCATTTTACACGAATTTATTTTCTTATTTCCACCTTTCTTTATATTAGACTCATGATTATATAATACAGGATAGGTAGGTAAATAGAAAATGGAATTTAAAAAAAAAATTCTTTTTTACTTACATGTGGCAATTCTAAATGGAATGTGAATATGCGAGGCCACTGCTGTACTGTATAGCAAATATGTCACGGTGAGTTTCAGACATCACTTACATAAAAAACATAAATTAACATAATTCTACACTTATTTTATTATTTATTGTACTCCAATATGGAGATATTATTCACTGAGGCACTTTTTTAGGCGTCGGCACTTGACATATGCTGTCGGGTAAGGCACAAATTTATACAGTACAGTTTTACTACATATACGCTGTCACAATCCCACCACTAGACCATGTTGTGCTGATACTGTACCCTAAAATAATGGTAAATTACAGATATTTACGCAATTTACAAATTTTGCAGGAATTAAAAATTTTCAAGGATGCACTGTACTGTAGATATATACACCCTAAACTTGGGTGTCCCTTACCATAGAAGATGTTAATCTGTGCCCAAAATTTGTACAGTAGGGGCATTAAGTGACAGTAGATATGCGCATTTGGAGCACACAGTCCCCATTTTTCCGACTTCCCTCCCAAATTTTTCCCACCGAGTTGAAGATCGCTAAACCGAAAATTGCAGTTAATTAAACAACAAAGGGTATTAAAGATTTTAAATAGCCAAACCGAAAAAAATCACTAAGTGAACGATCGTTAAACAAGGGGATACCTGTACAGTACATGACCTGGATCTTTCTCAACCATATTTGTGGACAAAAGTTTACACTGTACTGGCAAATTAATAATATGGTTTTACTTACCTTGAAAATAATTAAAGATGCCTTGCTTAGCTGTGAATACAACTCTGGCTCAATTTGGCTCATATCAGCAAAGTCAAGATCAGTAGTCCAAAATTTGTTTTCGGAGACCTTCCATCGACCATCAGAGAGATATGTTAGCCATTTATTGGCCATTTCGCCTGCAGATCCTCCATCTTCTCTGTAAAATAAGTATAAAAATGGCAACAATATGCATTGTAATTTACAGTACATGTCTCTTATCAGTTTTGGCAAATCAGTCATATTCTACCTAACCCAAAACATACAGTATTTGATGTTTAATATAAATTCATTATACAGGTACTCGTACAGTATTTCCAAACACGTTCATGGGAAATGGAATCAGATACACCAATGTGTCTGTTGTCTATTGTTCCTATAAGTGTTATAAATCTTGAAGGTGGATTACTTTTTTTTAATTAGGGATGTCATTAGTGTCTCCAAGAGCTCTACAGAGTTTGTTGATGACACAGGCATCCCTATGTGCTCCTGAGAAATTGTCCATTAAGCAAAATTCTAAAACTCAAAACATGTTCCTGTACTGTATTCTTATTGACTTCCATTACACTATATAACTGGAGGTGTGTTCCTCTGTAAGAATGAATGATCCACATAAATTAATTTCTTGGGCCCTTGAGAAATAGGCAGTTAAGATCCAGGTTTTCCTTAGTTCCCCGTGACTGGCTAGAGGAAAGGTAGATCTTCTAATCAGCTGGCCTGTATAGGTGTACCCCACTACAGGAATACCCCAGTTAATGAATGTTCAGGTTACGGCCCAAATGTTACAAACTAGCCTCCCCGAACCTTACTGGGAGTATAAAAATGTTCCCTCTAGTTTAGGAACAAGTTTGCTGCAGGATGATTACTCTCGTCCTCTGTGTGTCAGTGGTTCATCCCAGCTGTGGGGTTGTAGCATCACTTACCTTGTTTCCACTATTTTCTAAACCAGCAAAACTGTTCATTCCTTCTTTTTTTCACTTATTTATCATTTTATCTGAGACCCAACCATGGCCCATAAGCATAAGAGTGGAGCTAGTGATGAACTTGTTGCCAAGAGATATCGTAGAATCCTGACATTGCCAAGAAAAGTGAAGCAGACGTTATCAAGCGCTGATCCTTATACTTGTCAACCACCAGCGAGACAAGACGTGCCCTGAAGGTGCTCCCAGTTTGAGCAGCCAGGCCGAGTCTGTTTGCCCCCCCCCCCCCCTGCTATATCCCAACGCCCTACCAGCCTTACTACACCGGGATTTATTCAGCAACACATTCAAGTGATCAGTGAACGATTGATTACCAAACAGTGTTCCCATAGTGCACTCCAAGGAAAAGCACAAAAACACAGCAGTGTAATACTGAGTGTGGCTGGATCTGACCTAACCGGACCTGACCTTACGGCTTCACCTGACCTAACCTGAAGGATGGAGCACACCTGCATTGCCCCAAGCTACTGTCCTGGCCATGTGGCCACACACCTGCCCAACCGCATCCAGCCCATATGAGTGCGAACTGATTGCTATGGGAGCAGCCCAGTCCCAACCATTGTAAAAATTGTCAACACCTAATTATTATATATCATATTTGTATCACTTGTGTTACTTCTGTGTCATTTGTGAATCAAGAGACCCATTCCCCAATTGTGTAATTGTGTATTTTTAGCCTTCCAGCTGCCATGCTCTTTCAATAAAACATTAATTATTATTACTATTATTATTATTATTATTACAACAGGAAAATCAGTCTGTTTTAAAGTAAAGGTTAGGAAACACATTGTATGTCGACCTTCCATATATAACTTGCTACAAGTTCCTTCTTTTCTTTGTCAATGCATTTGATACGGTACCTCAAACTTCAACTATTAACAGCTATAGTTACATTAAATTTATTGAAGGTATAATCATGTTGGCATCAAAACACTTCTATACTGTACTAACATCAAAATGCTTTTACATTTGTATGGAAATCCTTTTGCAGTTGCTAAAATTGTTTATATTTGCCCCCTCCCCCCCAAAAAATACAAAATCACCTTTGGTTCATCTTTTTATCTAAATCATGGGAGCCACCCTATAAATTGGACTCTAATTTGCCATTAATAGTGATAATCTAAAGAACTATTTTGTGATCTGGTTGTGCCAGGGAAACCCCTAGTAGAATAAATTTGTTACAACAGTAAGGGAGCATAAATGACAGTAAATAGAGATACAGTAGGTGAATACTCTTGGTTCAAGCCATCCTCTGTACAGGAGGTCCCGGACTTACGAACGCCTGCCGATACGAACGGGGTTAAACTTGAAATTTACAAAGTGATAGCCCGTTATCCGGAACATTTGGTGCTGAGCACTTCCGGGAATGAGAGATTTACAGGGAATGAGATGACTCCCTCAAAGCCGGAAAAAATCCCTCATCCCCGGAATTTTCCGAGTTACGGAAATTTTTTCTCTAAATTTCCAAAAAATGCACCTGATTTTCATCTCTCAAACTTGGAAAAAACTCCCCCATCCCTGGAATTTTCCGAGTAGAGGGAAATATTTCTCGTAATTTTCCGGAAAATTTGCCCCTCGGAAAATCGTTCCCAAAGCCGGAAACTTCCAGAAAATTCCGGCTTGGTAACGATTTTCCGATAAAATTTCAATTCCAGCAATCGGAGAGTTCCGGGTTTGAGGGATTCCGGATAACGGAGATATTACTGTATTTTATTTACCTGGTGACTTATTTTTTACTTTCCTTTACTGTATTTTGTCATTCTATTTCTTCTTTTGTTTTAAAGTAAGTGATTTTAGATGTATATAAGGACTTAGGCTATGATATAGTGGGATTTTAAACATAGTTTTGTAAGTCCGGTATGCAGATACCATGTGTTCGGACTTATATTGAAATTCGACTTATGAACGTCCTCAGGAACGGAACCCGTTCATAACCAGGGGACCCTGGTTTGAAACAGTGAAACAGAAGTAACATGCATAGAACTGCTGAAGAATATGTATTAAAGAATATCTGGTTTAAAAGTGCAGAGGTCAAGTAAATACATGGCTTGCCTCCTGTCATGGGTCGGTGGTTTGATCCTGAGGCACTCCCAGTCCACCCAGCTGTAAATGGGTACCTAACTTTATAAGTTGGGCTAATGAAAGTAGTCAGGTGCAGTGCCAGCCATGCTACCTCCTTACATCCCATAGACTTTGCATACAGTGTGCTGTACAGTATTCTTGTTGTCCCTAACAGTAAGTCATGCCTACAGCACCCACTTTCAAGACTTGGTTTAGAGAGTCAGCAAAGATAAGGTGACAAAAGTTTGAGGTAGTATGTGAAGGGGATGTATTAATGGAGGAATATGAAAACCTACAAAAATTATAAATGTGTGAAAGAGCTTCTCCATCATACAGAATAATGACTGAATTACATAAAAGATACACACAGATAAATGATACCAGCTGGAGGGTCCAAATACTTTCTAAAACCTTGACATTCACTGAACACCTGAAAATTTATCTAAACAAACCCTCTTTCCAGTCAATAAGTTTCTTCTAACACATAGGGATATACAGTACATGGAAAAATACCTGCACCTGTCGATAGTCCAGACTAAATCTTTATGCGTGGTATCTGAAACGAACCAAGGACGGGTCTTTGGGTGCAGGGTGACAGAGGTGGCGAGACCTGCCTCTGTCAGGAATGTCATCAGGCACAGATCTGTGACTAGTTCAAATCCTGCATTATCAAGCACTAGTACTGTGGGCAAAGAATAAATAGTTTTAAATTACTACAGTTGTCACATTTTGTTCAAACATCCAACATTAATTTAGGTTTTACAGTGAAATGAATCTTTAAGAGTCAAAAACCCCAGACTTAAGTCATCCCTGGTCTCTCAACAAATACTGAATCCAGATAAGAATCCATATTAAACTGGTTGGGATGGTTGCTTAGTGTCTAGCTTGCTTAAAGAAAAAATATATATTATCTGTATGGATAGTTCATCTTGTTACCAACCACTGCACTTTTCTTGGACAGTGGCAAGCATTGTCCTGGGGAGCTCTCTTTTTGCATATCACTCATTGGGATCCACATTACATTATATAACCACATACTGTACTGGTATCCATATAAATCATGAAAACTATATACATTATCTGTATTTAATAAAAACTTACCAATATCTCTTTGGTCTTCTGGAAGGGCTACTAGAAGTTGCCATAATGAGTCCAAATTGTTTTCAATGATGTTTGAGCGTAGTTTATCCAGTGAAATTAAAAGATCTGTCTCCTGAGTTCTGTCAGCACCAGAAGAGAGGCTAAGATCACATCTGTTACCCCACACACTAACCTGAAAAAGGGTTCCTTCTCTCTAGTATACAGCAAAGAATCTTAGAATCTTAAATTTCTCTTACACCACATCTTTATAAGTTTCAGGATGTTCCTTCGATGAAATATCCCTTTCTCAATGCAATGATCCTTCCACCATTCAGAAAAATAGGGGATCAAGCCTTTCCAAACTTGGTAGGCTTCTGAATTAGGTGGAATTGTGCAAATATTTTGTTAGAATACAAAATATTCCACAATATAGTCTATTCTGAAAAATGCACTGTTAATATAATTTGTAAAGATAATAAAATGCAAGTCACAATAATTTACTGAATTAATTAACACAAATTAAAAATAAATAATATATCACTCCAACATATGAATCTCCCACGAAGTGCAAACAGTGAAAATCCTGTGGTGTGTTTCATCCACATGTACTGCAAAAAAAAAAATGAAGGGAAATTTGAAGACAAATATTTGCATAATGACTCACAAGCATTCAGTGCAGATCAGCATTCAATTCACTGTAGGCAGGCAGGAGTCTCACGTGCACATTTAAGTATTCATCAAACAAAGGCACCAGTTCTTGCTTCTAAATCTAATTGCAAAGTACCTGCATAGTATTATTTTTCCTAATCAAAATAAATTTGGGCAGCCAGTTCGGTCTTGGGAGTTTTCGGTACCGTACAGTACTGTACTGTATAACAAGAATCCAAAAAACCTTGTCCAATACTGAACATTGTTCAGTATACTATACAGTACTGTATTTTGAAAATTACTGTTTTCAGTACATACCCACTGGATACAGTAATAAGATATTTAAATATAAATCACTACACTACTGTACTGTACTGGTAATTAGAAAAAAAATTTCGTCTTAGACACTAGATGCAGTGACCAAGTCAGATGTGAATAAGTTCTGTTTGATCCTGTTTACTGAAGAGCTACATGTTGTGGGTTTACTGTATTATTATTAGTAGTAGTACATGTAGTAGTAGTATTAAGAAGGAACTGCTAATATGTAGTGTGTGGTATGAGTTTGACTTACAACAGTAATTTATGAAATACCTGTAGTTTAATTTACAGAACAGTATTTCCTCTTAAAATACCTCCTACCAAGTGCTGTTTTTACAGGTGTCCAGTGAGTGGAAACAATGTTGGTCATGCTCTACCAAACACCCAAATTTCCCTTATTCATTCTGATGTTAATATGAAAAAAAATTTCACTAAGTGTATTATCATTTTATTATCTTATTCCTTATTAAACAGTATGTACAGCACTGTGCAGTACTGTATAGGCTAATTAACTTAAGCTGAATTGTTGAATGATGAAGGAGGAAAAACTGAAGGTTGGAGTGAGTCAGCTGTTGTAATCATCTGCAGCTATGAGCATGGTTTAGATAGCTATCTCTTTTAAGTTAATAAAACATCACATAACTCAAACTAATATGACACCAGTTGTACTGTACCCAAAATATGTATCGACCTATTATCTGTTTTGTGGTGGTGGTGGTGCTGTGACTGCCAGCTGCATGATGTTTTCAACCTCATATTGCATTGCTGGTTTTGTTATTTTACTAGTTTCATGTTCACTAAACTCTCTTTAGGTATTTTGATATGTGTTGCTGCAAGAAAAATAATAAATTAATTTATGCATGAAAAGTTAGGATGAAGCAAGTAGAAGGTGCAGTCTGCTGCTATGAGCCCTCACATTTGGCAGAATATACACACTTCTACAGTATGCTTAATGAGCTACATTACATTAAAAAAATATACAGTAAAGGTAATTAAAAAGACTGGAGTGTGCTTAACACAAACCTTGAAGGAAAAAAGAAAGAGACAGATAAATTTAATGATGGCTTTACATGCCAGTTTATGGGAGTTGTGTTGGCATAACCCAGGAAAGGTGATGGGCCCTCTAGTACTGAACAGTATCTTGTATCCACATATTTACCAGTATGTAATACATCTGTTGTGCTAATTCACATTATAAATACATATATAAAATAATTAGAACAGCTGAAGTACTGTACGTATATTTAATTTATACTATGGAATAAAAGAACTACTGTACAGTATGTGATAAATCACTTAAGTGGTGACTTGATCAAGGTATCAAGTACACAGAGTTGTAAAGTAACTAAATAAATTTACCTGAGTACTGGACTCAAGTAACATTTTTGGGTATTTACTTTCTAAAAATTACTCAAATTTTTTAGTACTTTTACTTTTACTTAACTATAGTTTTCTAATACTCTTACTCCAATTCAACTGAAAAAAAAAACAATTGTTACTTGTTACAGTACATGCTAACTAATCATATATTTATAATTAATTAATTAATTAATTAAATTATTAACCATAGCAAAAGAGTTGTGTGGATGGAGCTGTGAGGGGTACGGTGTTGGAGACACCACATGGTCACATACCTAGAGGTCTCATGACGTGGGGTGACGTCAGGTCAGGTCAGGTCAGGTCAGGTCAGGTCAAGTCCGGTGGCAGTGGCCATGACAGCGGAATTTCCCTTTAATCTTCTTGTGTCCATTAGCACCTTGACCACCCACCTCACCTAGCCTACCCTCTTATCCCTCTCCTCCCCATCAACTCCCCTCTCACCTTTCCTTCAGGGGCTTGGTCTTCTCGTTAGATGTCAGTCGCTCCATGCATATACCTGTACCTAAAATGAATTTCAAAGAGGCTGTGATTCGAAAATGCTTTACTTAATTCCATCTTAGATCTAAAGTCTGTATCTATACATACGGTGTGTGTGTATGAGACTGAGTGTATTTAAAATTCTGCTTAAATGACTATGCTAAGTACCACTGCCCCTCCCCCAGCACCTGCCAGATGTAACATGGTGCGAAAAATTCAGCCACTCATCAATTAGAATCAAAAAGTGACGTCACCACAGCCACACCCCAATTTGAGGGACATTTTACGATGAGTCTTAGTCAGACTCAGTCACTATGGAGGCAACATTCATCCACAAACTCCTCAACTGAAGGAGCTTGATAGCTACTTGGCATGCCCAGGGGATGGAATGGAGCTACTGCAGGGGCATATCAAGGAATATAAAAAAAGGGGGGTCCAAGAAGTTGTGGGTTGGGGAACATGGTGAGCACAGTGAGCCCACCATAGCTGGAGGGTTTTTTTTTGGGGGGGGGGGCACAGTAAAGCACCCCTCCCGATTTATCTTTTTTAAATCTGACTAATAGACTAATATCATGGGCATTTTATGGCCAATAGAAATTACTTTTTACTAAACAAAAACACCCGAGTACAATACCGCATTAACCCTCTCACGCACAACATAAGTTTTAAGTTTTCCAGTTCCAAGATTACATATCTGAGGCCTCCAGAGCAGGCGAGACAGCGCACAGTGAATATTTATTTTTTTTTGCTTTATAAATTTCCCCCAAAAAACTAGTTTGTATTGGCATAAACCATATATCTTTGGCTTCATAGCTGATTGCTCTGCAAAATACGCAAAAAAAATATAATAAATAATACAAGTACTGTATACTGTACAGTATAGCTATTTTTCATCATTTATAATAAACATGAGAAAAAATACACAATACAGTGACAACCGATTAGCTCAAAATCGTCTTCACCAAACTTTTAAGTACAGTACTGTACACTGAAAAAAGCAGAATTCTATGAGCTTTCCAATGCAGCAATCAGATTTCTGATAAGGCCAATATTTTCTTCGATAATAGCAAAAAACTGATTCTCAAATGGTAAAATCTTTTTTCTTTTTTCTTTTTCAATTATTTGTGCCTATGTTTTATATCGATATAAATTATATTACATCTTGTAGCAACACTATAACGAAGAGAATGGTACTGATAAAATTCATTTAAGTCTTGAAAATCATCCTTTTTTCAGAGACTTATTTTGAGACATTGTCACTATAACGAGGTTGTATAGCCTGATATAGTCAGCTTTTGAAAACTAAACACTTTCCCTGTAACTGAAAAAAAAAGCCGTTTTTTTTCGAAAAAACAGTTTTTGTGATAAAGTCCAGAATGCGACGTCTAGCTTTATACCTACAGTACGTATGTATAAGCCTTGCATTAACTCGCCAGGCCAACATACAGGCAATTAAAACATCTAATAATCACTTAAATACGTAATATTAGGAGGACACGTTACTACCTGGCATTTAGCCGGTAATTGCAATTCTCAAAACCCCCTCCCGCACCCTCCATCACACGCATTGCTATCGTCATCTTCTTGCCTGGCGAATTAGCTGTAAACCCACACAAAGAAGGCTCCGCTAATTTTCTCTAACACCAAAAAGAAATTATTTCAGGGAGTATGGTAAGCACTGTAATCCAGGAGTGGACACGGCTCACACTCACGGTCTGACTGCTGAGTTATTTTACTGCGCATTTATCGTTCCGTTCTTCCCTTCCTAAGGGCCTCGAGAGTTGCCAATTAGTTTATTTGATAGAACTTACTTGCTACTATGACGCATCAAAATTTGACGCAATTCTGTTGAAAACTTAATTTTTGACAAATTTTTTAAAGTTGGGTGACTCGATTTGCATCCCCGTGAAGTTGGTCTTATCATGAATATGACACGAATTGCGTCATCATGCGTGAGAGGGATAAAAAAAAATATTGAAATTTTCTAATGAAAAGGGGAGGTCCCGATCCCCAGGACCCCCCCCTGGATCCACCCCTGAGGTGAGGTCTTTCCCAATACTGTATGTGACTTATCTCTCAAGTTTAACACCCCACTACCTGCATCTGCTGCTTGTGAGCATCTGTTTAGTCATGTTAGGCTCATTATTCATCATTTAATTAATTTATTACATCCCAGGGAGCGACAAGCCTAGTCACAAGACCATGCGGTCAGACACTAATACATTGGTACTCGTATCTCGCAGGATACGCTATGACTTGTGATATGGAGACAATATTGATATGATTTAAGGACAATGGGAGTTAGCACCCACCAAAGTGTGGGTAGTGTACAGGAATTAAATCTAAATTATTACGAATAAGTAGGTGGGG